TGTTCCATCCCGCGGGAGTTTTATTAACGTCGATATTATTCCAAGACGTCAGTTTGACTGCCAGTATCTGCGCCGAGGAGGAAGGAAACGGACGTCACGAATGGCGATAAAATTCCTACAGTGGACAGTAATAAAATCGAAAAGTCTGCCTCGAATTTATCCCATCCACCTCCACGATGCCCATTAAAAATGTACATCAACATCCCTTACAACATCCCTCCCGAGCCAAAATTGCCAAATCGATTGAACTTCTGAATTCTCAATTATTTCGATCATTTCGCCAAGAACCTCAAAGTCCTCGGAACGAGTTCAATTAAATCCAAGCTCGACAAATCTCAAGCTAAAATGGTCATTCCATTATACAAACGATATATCTGAATATTTTCAAATAGCATATCAGACGAAGAAGAAAATGAAAAATTGCTAATTATATAATTAAAAAGCTATTAAAAAGACCAGAGTTCATTTCGTGAGAATGTTTAGCGGTTTCATATCCGCAGGAAAGGCATCCACGTCTACCGGTTCCCCCGAAACATTAAGGAAAAAAAATTAATAAATAAAAGAAAAATACCCCATGACCTCGAAAATAAATGTTTATAATGAATAATTCCGTAGCAGGGGATCAAGGGCTATTTTATCCCGGCAAGGTAATTCAGTCCAGGCTGTTCCGTCGTTCCCATAGTCTGCGGGGGTGCTACTGGATAACGAAATTAGTCGTAAATTTCTCCCCTTCTGTTGGGCCCATTGGCGCACTTGAAACTTTCCAAGGGGTCCACTTCACGTTGTTTACGGCTCGCGCGTATTATCGCACATGTTATTATGGGGCTAAAAAAGCGGTGTAATGAAGAATTAACGAATCGCCGGTTTCCCGAGGTCCTCGCAGCAATTGAAGCTAGCTCGTTTCCCGCTCCCTCCTCGGCGTCGAGGCGAGAACGTGCCTCGAGGGTGTGACGCTTCATCGAAATGTTAATCCTACGTCATTAATAATGAACGTTCAGCTGCGAGCAGTCCTCTGCAGCTGCTTCGGGTCGGATTATCCCCAGAACACCGTGGACGAAATTTCAATGGGTTCGAAAGTGATCTCCGATCGTCACCCTCGATTCTTGATCTCGTTATTAAGGTGATATGAAAGTGATATATATGATATGATAAATATGAAATTTCACGAGCATCGCGTTCCTCCTTAGGGCCTCCATAATCACGTGTCAAAGTTTCAAACAATTTGTTACACCCAGTTTGGAGAAAAGTTCTATAAATCAGACCCATTTGACGCCATTTTATCGCCTTAAGAAGCTTCTACAATGATCATTATTCGACAATAATTATTTGACAATTATTTGACCCAAATACATAGATTTATTTCCTATCAACTTCGCTTCTACGTATTACAGAATCACGGTAATCCTCATACGAGGTTCCGAATTGGCTAAAAATGTGCGTTTATCTAAATCATGCGTAATCCTTTTGCTCCAATTTTCCCAAAAAGAGTAACGAGGGTGGACGTATTTTTTAACGATTTTCGCAGATATCTACATTTGGTCGTTATCAAAGTTGAAAATTCATATGGTTTTGTGCACGGCGACGAATAGTGCAGATAGGGTTCTTCGATAAAGGTGAAAGGAGTGAGACTAGAGCTTTTAAAAAACGCTTTTACAAATGCGAGGCCGCGTCATCGTCACGTCCCCGGATATATGTCAGTTACTCGACTCGGGCTCGAAGAGATTGAAGCAAAGCCCATATATATATATGTACACATATTTTTGCATAAAAATGCAAAAAATATAGGTTGAAACCTCTTCGCATTGCACCCGCGCACTCTTTCGCGATACATAATGGATACAATTGCGTATTCACGGGTTGGCTGTATGCATCGGTGAAATAACGACTCGAGATCATAAAACTGTTTTCACCATACATATGTATCGTTCCCCCGCGGTCCTCGGTATATCCTTGTTACGTATACAATTTTACTACCGGTTAATATATGCATATATATTACCGGTCATAAATTCTCCCCGAAGAGGATCACAGGACGATATCTCTTTCTCTGAATTCCTGATTTAATGTGCCAAGGAGCACTGCCGATAAATAAAAACCAACCCACGTGTGCGTTACCTAACACCTATCAAAACGAAGCAGTTACTAGATTTTTAATTTTAAAATTAGTTACTTCACTAATATATATATATACATATATATAAAAGCAGAATCTCCCTATTTAATTTTCCCGAGTCCCTAGAGTGACTTTATTTATCGAAACGTGGAATGATCCTTAGGGACTTCAACGCATGGGTAAGCGACTTGAAGTTTACATGGCGTTACAGAGGGTGCAGGTTAAGAACTGCAGAAAAGGATTGCATTTGCATTTTCCGTAGCATTAATGCACTTTCCGGAATTTTCACCCCTTACAACCATCTCGCCCTTAATTGCGGATTACCCACCGCGCCTCCACCGACTTCGCTTATTCGATTCTTCTTCGATTAAGAGCGCTCATGGAAACTCTTGAAATGCAGTTAGCACCCACCAGGGAAGCGGCAAATTGCATTAAAGCCGCATTCCGCGTGGTGTGAGTCGCGGAAACGCACAGCGGATTTCCGCGCGTCAAACGGCGCAGCACAAAGAGATCGTACTCGATGGTACGCCTTAAGGTGATATGAAAGGGTCATTCTATATATATAATATGTATTATATAAAATATATACAATTTTTATAATGTGTATAATATATATACATAATGTTTAGAAGACTTTTTTTTCCCAAACTGGGTGCACCGAATTATCTGAAACTTTAACACGTGACTATGGAGGCCTCAAGGAAGAACGCGATGCCAGTGAAATTTCATAATTCGAAACAAGACCGAAGAAAGGATATTTTTCCTTCGTATTCGCATCGCAAGGTTTAAAGGTACGGCCAGTTCGGAGATAAGTTTGATAAACCGAGACCCCTTTGACGGCACTTTCGCATCGCCTTAAGGACGCGTCCCGGGGGAGTAATCCCCCCACGAAAATTGCAAAATCCCACCCCCTGAGCAGTGTCGGGGCGTTTCAGGCTCTCATAACCGTGGAGGATGATTTCTTTTTATTTTAAATATCCATCACGGCTCGGGGCATGTTTGCGTTGCGTGCGGCGAACCGCCCTCCTGTGTGAATACTAATTAGCCGCGTGTCGCGGGTACGGAGCCACCGGGGCTCGAACGTCCATCCAATGGGACAGGAAAAAAGCGTCACCCCCGAGAGGGGTCCCTCGAAAATCCCACCCCTCGGATATATAATCCCCGAAAATCACCGAGTGCGGATTCACGCGAGATCGCACCCCTTTGGGAGGGGCCTCGAATTCGCGCGGATGTTCCGCGCCCTGGCCGCGTCGAAAAAAAGAAAAAAGAAAAACGTGGAGGTTTTCCCAGTTCCTCCCTTCGTTCGGAATCTGACTTTTCCCCTCGGCAAAATTGGGGGAAATTTGACCCCGCCATTTCCCCAGATCCGGGCAGAAAGGGCTGAATGGATTTTTTACGTCATTTCGGGTCATTCCATCCCTGACCTGACCCAACCCTCTTCTAAGAGAATTCATTTCCTCAGGGAGAAACTTTTTTTTTTGGCTTTCATCTTTCTTGTTTTCAACGTTTCCTCAATGCTATCAGGGTAGGAGTATATCATCGAGTTCCTCAGGATAATTAAATATGGAAAGATCAGTCAATAAAATATACAATCGCCCACCTAATCCCACGAACCATGATAGAATCCTAAAAAATCATTTTCTCCCCCAGATATTCCCTCTGCGCGTAGAAAGTAGAGTCGAAGTTCCTCAAGATAGAAGTTTCCCTTCACCGAAAGAAAATGGTAAAATCAGTTTGCGTACTTACCATCGTCGAGATCTATTGCCGAGGTCCTGTCGCAGCTGTTCCTTCCGAGTCCTTCTCCCTCGGGAACCATCAGGATCTGAATCCCCCGTTGGACGCAGCTCCGGAAAACCGCCTTGTCCACAGAAAGCACTCGATAGGACCTCTAAAGGTGCGAAACCAGGCTCGGAAATTCATCCTCGAGGAGTGGGGCCTCCTTCCTTCGTCGAAAAAAGCGAACCCGAGGGATCGTTAGTCGGTTCGCCTCCCTCGGGTCCATTTCGGCGGTTCGTTAAACGTTAACGGGTGCCAACGATCGCCGTGTCCTCGGGAGCGGCTCCGCGATACACGAGCCAGCTCCCTAAGATCCCGATCTCGGCCCTCTCCCTCGGGGTAACCCGGGAGAGCTGGACGTTTCTCCTGTTCCTACAGTTTCTTTACGGCCAAGATACAGTCGGCGCGTTACCAAGCGCCATAAATTCGGCCCCGGGTTCCACGGTTTCGTCCTTGTCCAGATCTCTGCACGCACACGAGTCCTAATCCCTAGGACGAGTTGAAGATCGCGACTGGGAACGGAAAGACGATCCCGAGGGAACAGAGTCTCCCGACCTATCTTGCGATTCGGGAAAATCTGACGAATCAGGTACCCGGGAGAGCTGGACGTCTCTCCTGTTCCTGGTTTCTTATGGCCAGGATAAATTCGGACCCGGGTTCCACGGTTCCGTCTTTGTCCAGATCCCTGCACGCACACGCGAGTCTAATCCCGGAACATCTCAGCTCAGGACGAGCTGAAGATCGAGACTGAGAACGGCAAGCCGATCCCGAGGGAACAGAGGCCCGTGACCTGTCCTGCGATTGGGGCAAATCTGACGAATCAGGATATAGGATCCCTTGGGTTATCGGCGCGTCGCCGAGAACATCAGCCAAAACAATTGTACTGTTTGTTTACGACCGAGATACAGTCGCCGTACACGTATTGTGGGCATTTCATGTAGCAAGGTTTAAACTCACCTGAAAATCGTGGGAGATTCGTTATTAAATCCGTGATTTAATAAAACCACCGTTTATAAATTCCGCCAAGTCTTCCAGCTAAAATCGCAGAAATCCACGGGAGTCGCCGACTACGCGCTCTCTAGGGCTTCGGGGCTCAATATAGACGCCTGCGTAAATAATAATAATAGTAAAGTGTATTAAAAAATCGTATACAATTTTGATTTCCGTACAGTGATTCGATTCGGTCGCGCGTACCTATGGCAAAGTAAGCATGTACAAAAAGGTTCCTCCGGTCCTGGGACTCGATTCTCGAGTTCATACGGATTTCTTTTTTTTTTTCGCATACAAATAAATTATCAGGCATTGTTGCAAAACCGCGTAATTAATCAACATTTAAAAGACGCCCACGAAATCGTCAATTGTCGAATTTAAATGTTGATCCCAGAAGAATCATACACTTGAGAGAGCCAATTCTTGTACACGGATTTTCTTTCCCACACGAATGGATCCGCGTAAAAAATCAGGCATTGTTGCAAAATCAACATTTAAAAATCGTGCACGAAATCATGAATTTCGCCCGCAAAAGTTGATCGTATGAGTTCGAGAATAGGTCCGTTCGTCGCATCGCGTAGAATGAACGGATCGAGAGAGACGGAGGGACAAGGGGGAAGGATAGAACAAGAGAGAGAGGGAAACGGAAGATCCAAAGGAGAAAATCCAGCCGGCTTAGGAAGGTCCAAAATTCTCGTCTCGCAGCTGCATCTGCGGATGGAGAACGCGTGGCCGACGTCGAGAGGCCGCAGGAACGGGAGGGTCTCTCACTCGCTTATACTCCGGTACCTTTCCTTCCTTTCCTTTTTTTATTGACAATCATCGTGACAAAAAGAGTTCCGTACAAATCTTCCTAATATAAATCCCTCTACCGTCCCCTTGTACCCATCCGAGCGACGAGAGAAGCGGTCCCCTCGCTACCGTGTGCGCCTTTTAAAAGTTCGACCGACGAGCCCGCCGCGATTCTTCGCAGATAAGTGTCTCTACGTATATTTATCTGTATACATATATGCGTACCTACGTACGAGTAAAGGATATATATATACAAATACATACACATACGGGTGTATATAACCTCGAAAAAGCTTAAGTCCTACTCCGAAGCATCGCGTTTCCTGCCTCGACCTCGACCACGTCTTAGCATCCGGCCTCTCATTTGCGACGTGATATGTGGAGAGCGATCCCATAATGTACGTATATCCGTACCGATACACGCGTCTCTCCCTCCCTCTCGGTCTCCCTTATTAATAATTACTCTAGATACACATACGCCGGTAATTGCGGGACCGATGAAATCGTCGTAGGCAGTGCGTCTTCGACTGGCAAGCTTCCTTTTTTCCATTTCGCGGTCTGTTTTCGGCGATTAAATAGGACTAATTACCGGCCGAGGACTCGATAGCTCGCACTTAGCCTTATTGCGGAGAGTACGAGTACCCCTGCGGATGAAACGCTGCGAGTGGGCCGCGAGGGATCGTCCCTAGAGGCTTTTCGCTCAGGAAATCTGACATTTTAGCTTTAGAAAATCGCGCGGAAATTAATTTAAAAAAATCATTAAGAGTATTGTTGAAACACGTAAAATGTAATTGTATCAAATCAGTAAGGAACTCGCGAGAGTGATAAAAATCCTTGGAAATCATACAAAACATAAACATTGTTATAGAAATTTAAATCACGAACATCGGCATCCGATTATTCATTGTTATTCATCCTATCATATTAATCGCCCGATTTTCCGACTGAACAGCCCCTGTATAATTTTTTCCTCTCTCCTCCTTTATTGCAGACTTCCTCCAGGATCTGCTCCGAAAGTTCTAGGGCAGTACGGATGAGAAATTAATATTAATCGTAGTGATATTAATATCGTACGGCGCCGGCGTGGGTTTGTACACGTATCGCGTATATTATAAATACATACCGGGTAATCCAAGGTACGAGCGACGGTAAAACCCCTCGTAACTTCCTCGCATTACCGAAAAAAATGTCCCAAAAAAAAGAAAAGAAAAATTGCAAGACTCACAATCAACAATAAGCACTGCCAGTCGTTGCAGATATCTTTATCGCGGGATATTAAAATGACCGGAATCATTTTAAAGCGGTACTCTTTGTCATTATCCTAAAGAGACCGCTTTGAAGAAGAACCCTTAACGGGGGAAAAGTCGCCTCGAAGTCTCGCAATTTTCGTCCAGGTAATTTTGTTTCTTTTTTTTTTTCTTAATACCGAGGAGGTAGGAGGGTCCTCCCGATTGGACCATCCGGTATTTATTGATATAATATAATACATATAATATTTATATATATATATATATATATCTGATACCGCAGGATATTTTTAGAGCTATTTTAAGACTGTGTAAACCTCCAGGACGCGTACTTGGGTCCTTCGCTTGCGTACTTATTTAGCTACATGGCAATATCGCTCCCTACGGTGCTCGCCTCTCTTTGCGGAGAATTACGCCGGAGAACGAGAGGGAGAGAGAGACGGAGGGAGGGGAAACTCGCTTCCAGAGCAACGAGGGAGACGGAGAAAATAGAGAAAGACGAGCGGTACAATGTATCGAGGTATTGCGGGATCGATCCCGAGAATGAAAGAACAACGAGCTCTCGCTTTACTCGCTTCGCGAAGGCCCGACCTCGAGAGAGTCTTCATTCTCACGCGCGTTCTCATCTCCGTTACACTCTTTGGACAAATCGACGGTTTTAAGGTCGTGGCGAGAGCGGCTCGACGTCGATATCCGGAATAAGAGGATCATAAAGGACCTACGGGCACTTTTTGCGGGAACGAGACGCGCCGGAAGGCGACATTTCTCTCGTCATCTCCAGGAGATTCCCCAAAGGTGACGAGGGGGGCCATCGACTACAGGAAATCCTTTCAACGCCTTGAAATCCTGGAAATCACCTGTCACAATTTTAAGGCCGAACCTTGTTACCGATTCGCAATGCTTTATCACACGAAATCAAAGGAAATCGCTATCACTGATTTCCAGGTGACAATGGCCCCTTCACGTGTTCGGATTCCCACTCCAGGTCTGGCATTTTCCCTTTAGACTTTATGACATTTTTTAAAATTAAAGTTTATCAAAATTTATTATCGTTTGGTGATAAGGGACGAGTGGATTTTTTTTCTGATGATAAGGGAGAACTTTAGGGAGATATCGGCGACGCGGTGGGTACTTAGTAGCCGTTTGAGAGCTTTTTAGGGGCTTTCTTTCGGACCTATCGGAATGGATAGCAATTCTTAAGGTCTATACAGTCTCGAGAGGGGGAGAAAAAGGAAGTAAGGGAACGGAAAGAGAATCGAGGCACGAGTCGGCCGGAGAAAGGGGAAACTCGAACGTTCCCTTTTTTGCGCGATCAGGTTCTCGTGCGGTACCCGCGATTTCTCCGCGGTTCGAGATCTTGCCTCGGAATATTTATCCAAGTGCACTCCCCGAGAGGCGCAATTAAAAGGGGAGGCGGACTTTTAGCTTTTGCCCGTAATTTTGAGGAGCCCCACGAAAGGATCGGCCCTGGTTTCCCTTTTTTCCACCGGCTGCGAAATCTCGATGAGCACGCGATGCCCACGACACCCAGACTCCATCTTGCACGCCTGCAAGGTGGCTCGCTAATTTCTGAGAAAACAGGGAATTTTTTAGAAACAAGGGAACTTCGCGAGTCCTGGAACGAGCAACCTTAGTCCTCCCTACCCGGGAGGAAAACCCTTGCAAAGGACTCTTCGAGTTTTCGACCGCGAGTCCGCTTCGTCTTCCACGTGAAGTGCCCGATGAGAAAGCGGGGAAAAAAATAGAAAAAAAAATAAATAAAATGCGCCCCATCCGCCGCAAACTTCGGAATGTAGAGAGAAGCTATCTAGGTCCTTTCCTCCGGAATCCCTTGCGGAAAGTCTCGCGGAATTAATTTCCTTTCTTTTTTTTTCTGGAGGGCGAAGTCTCGTTCGCCGCTCCGGCCACGAGCCCGGACTCTCGCTCCCTGTACATCCTTTCTAGTTCCTACAAAAGTGCTGGATCGATACTCACACTCTGACGACGACGTTATTTACAGTGAAATTCTACCGACTAAACGTGATATTTACAAGATATAGTACTTTGTCACTTACGACGAATCTAACCTATACACCTTTGATCATCGCGCGCCTCGTCCGCGAAGACGCGTCGTCCCAGAAATCGGCGAAAAATCCGAAGAGTGATCCAGTTCCCTTGTTCGTCCCCCGTAAAAAAATTGCCGAGTGTACCCGGGATCGCGAACAGTTCCTCAGGACAATTCCCACCTCCTCGCCGTCTTCGTTGAGCCGAGGTGTCCATCATATTGACTAGCGTTTCCCCCACATAGTGGCCACAAGAGTCGGCATTTAGGGTCGTTTCTCGCCTCTCGTCTTCGACGAGGTCTCAAGAAATTCCCCCCCGTAGGTTCCTCCTCATCTCCGTAGCCATCGTCAAGGGTTAAATTGACCTAGGGCTTTAATTCGTTCCCAGAGCCGTCCACGTCGGTGTCCAGGTCCAGTCGTTACCCTGAATCGCGTTTCCAAAGGACCCCCTTTCACAACGCAAGATGGCGTCGCCCTGATCGTCCAGGTCCCGGTATGACGGATTACCAGATCCTGGTAATCCATGTCCATGGAAAGGATCTCGTCGCAGGCGAGAGGAGGGACTCGATCCTGTCATCGATCTGCGCGTAACGAGCGCAATTTCACGACAACGGCGGCGGATAAGAAGAAGAAGAAGAAGAGGAAGAAGAAGAAGACGAGCGTCCAGCGGCGAGGCGTCGGGCGAGTTCTAACAGTTACGATGACTATCGATACGGCTAGCTGCTAGATAAATAGACGAGACGATGATACACACGTTAGACGGACCCACGATGTCCGCGGAGAGCTAACTCGACCCGGGCAAAGTGGAGGAGAGATGGGGTAGAATAGAACAGACGGACGCAGGGCGTGGGGGGGTTGGTGGGGGACACGTAGAGAGAAAGACGCAAACGCGTTACACATTCAGACACGCATTCAGGCATTCCGTTTGGTGGGAACGCCGCTCGTTCCCATACCCACACACACACATGCAACGGAGCCAGGAGCCGCGGATATCCTGGTCGGGGGGGTGGAATCCGTCGACCCCCGGTCAGAATTCCGCGGCTCGGGGCTCCTCCACGCGAGAAGACACGTGCGGGCCAGTACGTATATCTGGTAAGCTTGTGGCCATCCGGACTCCCCAGGAGACGGATCTAGCCTCCACCGGCGACGAGTGGCGGTCATAGTCGCGGTTTAGAGGCGATCGGTCCCCGTCCATCCGGGGAGCGGGGGCCCAGGTCAGGGGTCGCTCAAACCTCCGTGGCCTGGGTGTAGGAGGGCGCCAGCCCGTGGGCCGGGGTCAGCGGGCCCGTGGTCGAGGCTAGCGACCTCCTGGAGTAGATGGTAGCCGCCGAGTGCGGCGTGTGCGGCGCCGTGTGCGGAGTGTGCCTCCGAGAGGCGGTGGCGAAGGGCTAAATGGGCCCGTAGTTGCTGAGAGCGGAGGGCCGCTCCTGCTGCTGCTGCTGGTCGCAACCGGCCGTGCTCATGTCGCCCGCCGCCGACTGGTGGCGTCATACGTGCGTGAGCGGGGGCTGCTTGAGGACGTGGTGGTGGAGATGGTGCTGGGAGGCGCTGGCGACGGAGCCCGGGGGCAGAAGAGCGCTGCCGGGTCCAGGGGGTGGAGGGTACTGGGGCCCGGCACGGCCGACCACCCCCTTGATGCCGGCACTGCCGAGGCTCCCCACGGCCCCCATGGGGCCCATTCCCGCGATGCCGATGCCGCCGACGCCCCCGCCTCCGGCGCCTCTGCCGAAGAGCCGCCGCCAGAGCCTCTTCCACGAGTCGAGGGTCTTGCCGCTCCAGATCCAGACGCCGGAGGTGATGCCGACCGCCAGAGCCATGAAGTACTTGAGCATCAGGACGGAGTAGAGGGGCCTGGCCCTGGGCCGACAGGGGCACGCCAGGGAGCCCAGCCACTCGTCCCTCAGGGTGGACTCGTAGAAGTAGCAGGCCAGGACGGCGCTGGCCGGGACCGTGTAGAGCACGGAGAAGACGCCGATGCGGATCATCAGCTTCTCGAGCTTGTCCGCCTTGGCGCCGGGCTGCCGCTTGATCACCGAGCGTATCCTGAAGAGGCTGACGAACCCGGCGAGGAGGAAGCTGGTGCCCAGGAGCAGATAGACGAGGAGAGGCGCCAGGATGAAGGTGCGGACGCCCTCCGGGGCGACGGTGCAGACCCCCGCGACGGGGTCGCCGGCGACCCCGCCGGCCAGAAGGGCCCAGACGGTCTGGGCCGAGGGGGCTAGCCAAGCCGCCAGGTGGAAGTACTGCGAGTAGGAGGCGATCGCCTCGTTGCCCCACTTGAGGCCCGCCGCGAGGAACCAGGTGAACGCCAGGATGACCCACCAGACGGAGGAGGCCATCCCGAAGAAGTAGATCATCAGGAAGACCGTAACGCACATCCCAGGGCCCTGGGACCCGAAACGTAACACGGGACCCTCGCAGGCGATCTCCTCGTGGCCCAGGACGCTGCGCGCCAGGTACCCCAGGCTCACGACGAAGTAGCACGCCGAGAGGAAGACGATCGGCCGCTCAGGGTACTTGAAGCGCTGGGTGTCGATGAGGAACGTCGTGACGGTCATGAGGGTGCTCACGGCGCAGAGGCCGCTCCAGAGAGCCAGCCAGACGGCCGCGAATCCGCGCTCCTCGGGGGTGAGGAAGGCGCCGTGGCACGGCAGGGCGCAATCCGACACCCCGGCAATGTCCGGGGAGGGCGCCATGCCCGCCGCCCCCCCTACGGCCATGCTTAGGCCACTTCCGCTTGCCCCCAGGGGCACGAGGGGCGCCCTGCACCTGCACGCGCAGTCCCTCGCCCTGTCCCCCGGGGGGTGTTGGCAGTTTTTTTGGTTCTTCCCGGGCTTGCAGCGCGGAGGCTGCGTCGGCTTGGACGGCCTCGTCGGCCGTGGCGGCGCCGGCATCGGGGCGCTGCTCGCCGCCCCGCTGCTCGTCCGGTTGTCCTGCTCCATGCACAGGTTCTCCGGGTCCCCGTGGTTGGGCAGTCGCTCGCAGGCCATCCGCTCCGGCCAGGAAAACCCGTAGTGCTGCATCAGCGGCGCGCACCCGGATCGCGCCCTCTCGCACACGCTGCGGCACGCTGGCAGCGGCTTGCTGTACTCCGGCAGGCATATCGGCGTGTACATCGAGCAGAGGAAGAACTTCAGGTCGGGCGAGCACTTGATCTCCACCAGCGGCCAGAACTGGTGCACCTCCAGCCCGGCCTCGTCCTGCGTGTCGTGGTTCAGCTCGTTCGGCATCGCCGTCAGGTTGTACCCTATCCCCAGACACATGGGGATGGTGATCTCCACGCACCTGCTGTTGCCCCCGTTGCCCCCGGAGCCGCCCATCGTCGAGTGCCCGCTGCCCAGGGCGTTGGACCCCGGCCCCCCGGCCACCACACCCACCGCCGAGGACGAAGGCGAGGACGAAGACGACGAGGCCGAACCCGATGCTCCCGACCCCGCGACTGCCGCCGACGACGAGGATGACGACGAGGACGACGACGAGGACGAGGCGGGACCGCTCACGGGGATCGGCCCGATGCTGTTCGACGGACCCACCGCCGACTCGGCCAGCACCTTCGCCGGCAGGACCAGGTGGAACAGGAGCAGCAGGATCATCGCCACCTGCTGCGGCGCAACCATCCACCGAAACGACGCTTCCATTCTCGTGCTCTCCCGGGGATTAGGCTGCCGTCCGTTGCATCGCTTCGGCCTGGAACATCGATAAGAGTTGCCCATCAGTTATCTCGTTATCAGGGGGACTTTCGTGGAGGTCCTTCAATACGATCAATCGATCTAGGGGAATTCCCGGTGTACCAGCAGGAACTAGGCTAACCTAAGACTGAAATTCCCTGTTTGGTCCCCGGTCGACGCTAATTAAGCGTTAAGTAACCATTGATTAAGGAGTTCAAATCCTCGAATGTGGACGAAGGGTTGGAAAATTTTACGAAAATTGTCTCGGGGACCGATAGTCCAGGAATAGGCTGCAGGGAATTCGATATCAACGTCGGGATTGACGGATGCCCGTTATCCAGGGGGAACGGAGAACGAGAAGGAGACGAATGCTGCGACCAGGAATAGTCCAGGACCGGGCGCAATGTTATTGCGGGAGCCGGTGTTAGTTTTAACGTTTGTTAACCGGCACCGGCCTAATGCCCCGCTATTTATAGGCGCCTTAACCTCGGGTCGCATCCCTATCCCCCGAGGAGGAGGTCCTGTTCGTGCTACGCGTGTGGCGCGATACGAATCAGGATGTTCCACGGCCCCTTCTCGTCCTGCTCCGTTCACCCTGGCTCCTGGTATCGGATCCTTCGCCCACTGCCGGATCCGACTTGCCCCCCGAGTCCTGCGTTATTCCTGGCATCCGATAATTGAAAGTATCCCCCCGACGATGACCAATCGCGACCCCCTCGCGCTAAATTGCCCCGACTTGTCCACCCCTCTGGCCATCAAAAAAAAAATAATTCCCACCTAGAAATGAACTGTCACGATCCCGAAGAAATTTTTCAACCGATTTATTTGCGTTTATTTCAATTAAATAAATATTATTTCAATTAATGAAATATCTCTTTGCACTGTACTGCCCCAACTTGTCGCTCTCTCCGGTCAATCAAATCATAAAGGGAAATAATTCCCAGCTGAAAATGAATTGCCACGATCCGAGAAGAAATTTTTCAACCTATTTATTTGGGTTTTTTTGAGGGAAATAATTATCCCTTGAATTAAGGGTATTTCTCTTTGGTTCGTTAAATTGTTATTCTCGCTCATTTTTAACGTGGACGTCCTAGATGGGATGTAGATACTATATGGAGTTTCGTTGTTAATTTTCTGCATGGGAAGGTGCAAGCTCATATGTTCTACGTCCATGTAAGGAACTGATGCGTCTTTCGATGTTCGATTGGCGATTCGATACGCGACCCGATCGAACGACAATGGCCGAAGACGTGTTCTTCATTATCGAGGGCGAGAGGGCCCTTTTCCCTCTTTAATCCCCATGGAACAGCCCTTGCATTCCCATGACTCACGCGGCACCCCCTGCTCGACGAAACTGCATTTATGCGACACTCACGCGATATGCGGAACGCGTCCGGAAGCGGTAAAAATGCGTCGTTGCGGAAACGCTTATACGATATGTCTTCCTTTGCCTGATTCATGCACACCTCGAAGATCTCAGATCTGCCTGGAGTTATTTATTGCCGGCTCGGAATATCAGGGGCGACGAGGAATTAATAACGAGACGATTATTTGTATTAACGACCCCTTGAGGAGGGTCAGTTAATTTACGGGAAATTTAATCGCTGTGAAGTACGGATTTAGACATGAAAACCGAAAATAAGGGCAGAAAATCCCTTGTAATTATTAATCATAATTAAAATAAATTCTTCGCGTTTTCTTTTTTTTTTTCTGGAATTTCTATCAAATCCTCACTTCGTGGAGATGACGCAGGACTCCCTAAAAATATATGATTTCATACTTTTGATACACTTTATGAATCATATACCTGCATCTTTTATAATTTTAGCTCTCTTCCCTCTTCCTTGGGAGCAATTTATAATACGCGTTCTCCATAAGTCCACGCACAAGCGGGGACTATTTCCGACGGAAAATTCAGAATGATTTAAAACGGAGTACGTGGCCGCATCCCGGTAAATATTCCCGTGGAATTGTCCGGAAGAAATGGGGGGAAAAAGAAAATAGTGGAGGGAAGTCCATATCTCCTCGGAATTAAGGCGACGCTAAAGACGGGAAATTAACGCCCGAGGACGAGAATGCGTAACGTCGCCGTCATCCGGCAGAATAGCGGGTTAAAAGTATCGCAGAAGGTGTTTTACAAGATGCCGAGCCGAGCGGCATTATTTCCCGCCGAAGAAAAACAATTAGGAAAAAAAAAAAAAAAAACATTCGATGTATCACGCGAGTTTATACATCCGCTCGGCTCTCCTCTGCCTCCGGTTCACGGCTGGTTTGCTTTGACACCGAGTGGGAATAAAAAAGATGGAGATTGTCGGGTAACACGCTCCCCTGGTTCCCTCTAATTACCGGGGCCACGTTATTTGCCTTGTCGGGGGGAAAAAAGAGCGAAACGATCGACAGGTCGAGCTCTTCTCCGGGATCTGAATTTCCACGGCCATCTTGAGACATCGAGTCTAGGGCGTGGAAACGTTCTCAAGATTTCATTTGCATCTTCAATGCGTAATAACCCCAAGCAATGAAATCATTACCCTGAAAACTTGGCAACAATTTCATTTGCATCTTCAATGCTTAATAACCCCAAGCAATGAAATCATTATCCTGAAAACCTGGCAAGGATTTCATTTGCATCTTCAATGCGTAATAACCCCAAGCAATGAAATCATTATCCTGAAAATCCGGCAACGATACCCCATCGATTTTAAAAGTAAGACTTATGTCATTTCCAGTACGGGGAAAGTTCCCACGTTACGAAAGTCGCCCGATTCGGCAAGTGAAACGTTTCCCTTCCGAGTTAATTCCCGTTTACATTACATCCTTGGGTTTTATTACCAGCGCAATTTGCCCAGATTTCAATCCCTCGGCTCGTCGGGACTTATATACTCATCGGGACAATTTGCGCAAAAATTCTCCCCGGTACATTGTTCTCTCACTTAGTGACGTTTGCACTGAGCTAAAATCAATCCATACGAATAGGGATGATAACCACACCCAAGCCCAGTATCGATCATGTAAGGGCATTAGCATACAGTCAAATCAATACGAATAATAAATGCACCGATCAATATCACCAATAATTAATAATAATATAAAAAAAACTCATCTAATCGTTGTACTTAACTTCGAGCGTCGACGTCCAGCTCGCGTGGGTACCCTAGCTTTTGGTATACTTTTTCCTTTTTTTTTTCCGGACACTCGTGGGCATCATTGTCGAGGGCCAATTGTCCAAGTGCGGTTTTCGTACTCACTTTGAGCGGAAAAAAAAAAAAAATTTCGGCGAACAAAGCCGACGAGCTCGCGAGGTTTAATGCGAGAACGCATTGTTGAACCCGGTCAACCGGGATGGGCCTCATTGTCGGTTTTTCGCCCTCTCCTCGGGGGTCGTTCCCCGACTTATCGGGGTATCATCTCTACCGCGTATTCCGCACTTGCACAATAACTTCCCATTAAGGCGAAAACCCCGAGAAGGCTCGGACGTAGGAGACGGAAGGTGGCCGAGAGCGGCAGCGAGTTGCACTCCCGGCAATGAATCAGTTTTAAGACCTCGCCCGCCAAGAATACGCGCCCGACGTTGTTTGGGCTTATGATATACTCCTCTTGTATGTAAATCATGCGTTTCTCTGGCTCTACAGTCCGCGCTAAAAATACTAATCCCCGCAAGAGGGCCGATTCGACGGGAAAACGAGAAAGAAATTCCGTCCCGAGAGTACCGAGTCTTTAAACAAACGCTTAATGGTGATTTCTTTCTTTCTTTCTTTCTTTTTTTTTTTAACGCAAGTCGGCGAGCCCACCTTTTCCCAATTTCCGATTAGGAATTTCGACTCAGAATTCCTGAAGTTAAGAACCATTGCGTGCTTATTTAAATCGTGGTAATGACTTTTAATAACACTTTGTGTACTTAATTAGCGCGAAGTTTACATCTTTACCCCCGTGTCGTAGAAACGTTTAGGATGGACAAATAATGGAAAAAAAAAAATAATTTCCTACGGTCCTCTTCATCGGGTAAATTTAACGAGATTCCGGATTCTCCAGTTCTCCGTTTCGCGCGTTTCGTGAAAATGATTAAAAAACTCGGTAGAGTGTCGCGCCAAATACATATAGACAGAAGACGTTTCCTGAGCCTCTTGAAGGAGTAACGTCAACTTTACCCAGATCATCGCAATTGAACCATTTTTTTTTCCTGCGATTCCCGAGCTGGGGGCAAAACCAATTGGCACATTTAATCCAGAGACGTGCAATATTAAATGTTTCATTGTCAAGTCGGACCTCTGTCCATGATCTAAAAAATGGCGATTTCGCGGTACTCGCATATCTCGCCGCGGTACTCTCACATTTAATCCAGAGACGTCCAATATTAAATGTTTCATTGTCAAGTCGGACCTCTGTCCATGATCTAAAAAATGGCGATTTCGCATTTAGCTGCGTTACTCGCATATTCCTCGCGTTTCGATCGCGATGACCGCCTCCGTGTGTTTAATTCCCCGAAGTTCGCAGCCCGGTCGTCTGATCTCCGATCGTAGGATCGATACCCGGAGGGGGGATTTCTTTAAGGGTCCGCCATTTGGAGGATCCTCGACGGGGGAATAAATTCCAGCCGAGGACACACGATCCTGGGGCCGCGCCGTGTGCTCACGGGGCTCGTTGCATAAATTATCCTTGCCTCCGAGGTCCGCTCCTCCTCCTTTTTCATCGGGAAAATATTTACGTCCGGGCTCTTCGTCGGGGCCTTTCGAGGAGCGGGGAGCCTCCCGAGGGAGAGGGGACGAAGGAACGGGAGGGAAGACGGTGTCCCATGGAGTTTCTTAAATAAACCACAGGTAGGCGCGATATCTCCGAGGCGAGTCCTCGGACCTTCTCCACGTCCGCCTCCGTCCTCTCGTACGTCATCTCCCACTCGCATCCTGGCCAGGACACCGACACGAGGTCCTGCATATCCCTATCTAGGGGGAGAGGTCCCGAGAAATCTGCAAATCCATTCGCGGATCCCTTTTCCCTCTGGACGTCACTCTCGTCCGTTAATAG